GGGGGGGTTAAAACCCTTTGATCTGACAAAGATATCAAAATTCTCAACAGAATGTAACAAACCTTGAGAAATGAATACCTTGCTTGCACCACATGAAATCTGATATGATGAAAGGAAACAGACACATAAGTAAGATAGTAAGGCCATGAGATCTACCAAACACACCACAGACTTACCAGTTCTTGTAGAAGCGGCGTTTGCATTCCTCACTAAGATGCTCTGCAAACACGGTTTTGAAGGTGCGCAGGCCAGTTGGCGTTTCAATGTAGCCAACAATACCAACACAAACCATGGGAGGTGCCTCAACGATGGTCACAGCTTCAACCACTTCCTTCTTATTGGTCTCTGAAAATAATGCAAGAGATAGGCTATTAAAAACACAATTTATCATTTTAAACACATGTTGAAAATATCAACACCCCCCCCCCTCAAATCAAGAAATGGGCCCATTATATCACCAACAATTCAAAGTATATCCAACCGCTTGGCTGAACATTAACTATCTGTATTAGTCCACTCAAAAAAATCATCAAAAGACATCGACTGTGGTGGAGTGGTTAGGCACTTCGCCTTCCCATGCAGAAGAACAAAGGTTGAGTCCCATATGCCATATATAGATCAAGGGAATTTTTTTTTCTGTAATGTATTCCCAAGCCCGGGCTGACCCCAACAGACATGGCAAAATCCAGTTACCTAAACCATACTCTGTTGAGGGCATAAAAACACCATTTAAAAAATCACAGAAAAACCCATCCACCATACCATGAACACTGAAGAAAAGACAACTTCCAACTTAACACTTTGCGATCACTTCCATTCTGGTCACCGCCATGGTCGAGAAGTCCAATGGAGTCATTCTCCCCGCTGGGTGACTGCAAAGTACCCTCTGAGCGCTAAGCCATTTTTACCATTACTTCCCTTAAACGCTAGGTTTATTTTTTTAGAAAAATGCTAATTTTCACCATGGCTATATAAAAAAAGCTCATATCTTTCTTATTTATCATAATTTCTAATTACAGTAAGAAGGAAAAATGTGTCTTAAACAATGAACTACCCTATGTCTGGTCAGATGTGTTATTTTATGATGTTGTTATCAAAATCCTCATCATTTTTAGTCCAGCCTGCTTGGAGATCAGCAGGAATATTGACGTCCCCTTCTGGATTTTAACTCGCGATATCTAGATCTAGATCCCAATCATTCACACGTAGATTTAATTCTTTCACTTTCATTTAAGGCAAATTAAGGACCCAATCTTAACTCTTTATCACTGTGGTCCGATTCCAGAAAAATGGTTAAATATGTGTCTAAATCAGCTGACGAATCCGACATTTTGAAAACTAAACAATATCCCAGAAAATTGCAGATTAGAAACCCCAAAACGATCCCCGACTGCAAAGTGCGCGGCCAGCGGCACTAATAAACGCTGTACTATAAGACTGTAGTCACCAGCAGTTAAAAAATGACTATTATCATGTCAGCGGTATAGTTTCTGCACTCATGTCGGATCACGACCGGTGATGCGCACAGAGGGTTAACGGAGTGTCTACGTACACGATAACCGAGCACGTAGCCACAGACTCCACGCACACGGTAACAGGAAGGTCCACCCTTGACCTTCACAGAAGTTTCGTGTCGTGCGACTCGCCGAATTGCTAGTGCAGGGTGGCCAGGAAAATTTTCCTCCTAAAAATCCTACCACACCAAAAGAAATCCTGCCACCATAGGTAAAGTTGTTTCTTGCCACTGTCAGTGTTAGGCTCTCGTCAAAGAGAATCACGTAGAAGGAGCTTTTCAGCCTGAAAACATCTCATGAATGAGAAGACTCATGTCAACAACTGCTCTATTTGATTACTATTATATTACTGTTGGTGCTCCTTTCAGTATCTCTCACAACACTTGTTCTGTTCTTGGTAACCTTAAGAATAGATTTGGCACCACACTGGCTGGTTTGGGCTTTCATGTGTTTTTGAGGTACCATGTCAGTGTTCAAAGCTTTTACACCTGAATGACCGATGACAAATACTTGGGAACAAACTTCCATCTAAACTTGCTTTTATCATTTGGATACTCCACAATCATTCTGAATACTTAGGGTTGGACAACCACTCAGTGTTGATGAAGTAGCACTTTCCCATGATGCTGGATCTAGTCTAGATCTCTCTCTCTCTAGTCCTAGTTATAGTCTACACATATTATATAGTCACAAAAATCATAAGAAAAAGAAGTCTGTTTCTAGCCTGGGTTTCAGTATGCCAAAAGTGCTGTCAATCTTCTACTCTCCAAAGACTATCTTGCTGAGTTTTTTCCAT